TAGTCATGTATGGCTGCGAGAGTTGGACTATAAGGAAGGCCGAGCGCCGAAGAATAGATTCTTTTGAACTATGGTGCTGGAGAAGACTCTTGAGAGTCCCTTGGACTGCAAGAAGATCAAATCAGTCAATCCTAAAAGAAAGAAACCCTGACTGTTCCCTGGAAGGCCAGATAATGAAACTGAAGCTCAAATACTTTGGCCACCAAATGAGAAGGGAGCACTCACTGGAGAAGACCCTGATGCTGGGAAAGATTGAAGGTCAAAGAAGACGGGGACGGCAAAGGATGAGATGGTTAGTGTCATAGATGCATGAAATTGAGCCAACTTCAGAGGATGGCAGAAGACAGGAAGGCCTGGCGTGATCTGGTCCATGGGATCGCAAAGAGTCGGACTCGACTGTGCGACTGAACAACAAATTGTAACAATAAGTTTGGGGGTGGTGGTTCTGAATTCCTTGTTTTCATTTTAAAAAAAAATGTCTTGAGCCTCTTCCCTCATGGTGATATAAGGATAAAGGCATATCTCCCTGCAGAGATGAAAGCTTGGAATTCAGAGAAACTCCTAAGCCTATTGTTACAACCAGGGGTCATTTCGTAGAAAAAGAAGTGCAGGAGCTCATTAGCATAACTTATTAGCATAACTTATTTGCATATGCCACACCCCCTGACATCACCAGAAGTGTGTCAGAAGACAACACCCACCGCTTAGGCTCCAGTGGACTGTTTTGGATTGCTGGCTATTGGGGGAGGGGAACGTGCAGATCTGCCCTCACATAGGAGGGAAAACTTGTACCTGAAGGTGCGCCTGGGGGGGTGTGGCTCTGCAACTTACCTGGCTGCTTCATGCTCCTCGTGGCCTGAGTGAGGGCTGCTGGGAGTAGGGGGCGGGGCTTGTTGCATGTGCACGCCCCCTGGGCTCCTTACTGCTGGAGCTCCGCTCCTGTGCGCTCCCGCAGAAAATGATCCCTGGTTACAACACGAGCAATATATAACAATTTTAGTGCTTTAAAAAAAGTCACTCATCTTTAGGGTTTTGGGGGGAGAAGTCAGAAAGAGTCTTCACCCCACTTTCTCAGGATCTCCAGGGAAGACCTGAAAGCGCAGATATGTCCATAAAGCATTCCTTTAACCTGAACCTAATTGAGTTTTTTCATAGTTAAAGCCACAAGTTTGAGATAGCCCCAGAAACAGTAACCTGTTATTTGTTTAAACCAGGGGTCATTTCGTAGAAAAAGAGGTAGGGGAACTAATTAGCATAACTCATTAGCATATGCCACACCCCCTGACATCAGGGGCCCGGCGGTGGACCTGCAAGGCCAGCGGGAGTGTGAGGAAGCCTCGCCAAGGCCCTCCCTGACCCCAGGCAGGCAGGGGTGGGGAGAGGCAGGGAGGAAGCAACTTACCCTCCCTCTTCTCCTGCCTTCTCCTGGCTGAATGAGGGCTGGAAGCGGGGCGGCCGGAAGCAGGGGGTGGGGCTTCGTCATGTGCCCCGCCCCCCTGCACGTCACTCGGGGGAACTGTGTTCCCCCGCGTTCCCCCCCCCCCGAAATGACCTCTGGTTTAAACCATAACTTGTTGCAGAAACCCTGGTGAGTTTACCAGATTATATAACAGCCTACAGTTTGTTTGTAAATCTCAAATAATCTTTTCCATCTCCAAGCAAAGCCCTCATGTTGCCAGGCTGCTGGCAAAGCCTCACTTGTATGAACCCTGAGTACTATTAATGCCAATAAACTGAGGAGCCCTTGGCTAGGCATCATCAGTTTCCATCCCCCTCTCCCTTTTTGTTGAGCTTCAATGAATATCTGGACTTTAAACTAACCTATCTCTTTTTTGAGAAAGTTACTACCTTACTGGATCAGGGGAATGCTGTGGACATAGTTTATCTTGATTTCAGTAAGGTCTTTTGATAAGGTTCCAAATAATATTCTTGTTGACAAATTGGTAAAATGTGGTTTGGATCCTATGACATTTAGGTGGATCTGTAACTAGTTGACAGATCGCAGCCAAAGAGTGCTTGTTAATGGTTCCTCATCCTCTTGGAGAGCAGTGACAAGTGGAGTGCCTCAAGGATCTGTCCTGAGACCTGTTTTCTTCAACATCTTTATCAGTGATTTGGATGAAGGAATAGAGGGAATGCTTATTAAATTTGCAGATGATACTAAATTGGGAGGGGTAGCAAATATGGTAGAAGACAGAGTCAGGATACAGGATTATCTTTACAGACTGGAAAACTGGGCTAAAACAAATTTCAATGGGTATAAATGTAACGTTCTGCATTTAGGTAGGAAAAATCAAATGCATCATTATAGGATGGGGGAGACTTGTCGGCAGTAGTATGTGTGAAAAGAATCTAGGGGTCTTAGTAGACCATACACTGAACATGAGCCAGCAGTGTGATGAGGTAGCTTAAAAAGGCAAATGCAATTTTGGGCTGTATCAACAGAAGTACAGTGTCCAGATCACATGAAGTGATGGTATCACTCTGCTCTGGTTAGGCCTCACCTAGAGTATAGTGTTCAGTTTTGGGCACCACAATTTAAGAAGGATATAGACAAGCTGGAATGTGTCCAAAGGAGGGCAACGAAGATGGTGAGGGGTCTGGAGACCAAGTCCTATGAGGAAAGGTTGAAGGGGCTAGGTATGTTTAGCCTGGAGAGGAGACGACTGTGAGGTTATATGATAACCATCTTCAAGTACTTGAAAGGTTGTCCCAGAAGGTCGGAGCAGAACCAGTGGGTTGAAATTAAATCAGAAGAGTTTTCGGCTTAATGTTAGGAAAAATTTACAGGCTTCCTCGGGAGGTGGTGGGCTCTCTGGAGGTTTTCAAACAGAGGCTAGATGGCCATCTGACAGCAATGCTGATTCTGTGAACTTAGGCAGATCGTGAGAGGGAGGGCAGGAAGGGTTGCTTCAGTGCTTAGCTCTTGTGGCCCTTTGTTACATGCCCAGCGAGGTGCTGATTGCCACTTTGGGGTCAGGAAGCAATTTTTCTCCAGGCCAGTTTGGCTGGGGATCCTGGAGGGGGTTTTTTTGTCATCTTCTGGGCATGGAACAGTGGTCACTGGGGGTGTGGAAGGGGAGGTATTTGTGATTTCCCTGCATTGTGCAAGGGGTTGGACTAGATGACCTTGGAGGTCCCTTCCAACTCTATGATTCTATGAAACTTGAAACAAATGTTTACACTCACGCAAACCCCTTTTTGCCATTTTTCTGTCTTTAAAGTTCTTCCTGGAGAGGCTGATGTCTGTGAAGTATAGTTCTGCTTGATGAGTCATCACTAGTAGGGGTATGGCGTGTAGAAAGAAGGCAAGAGGGCATGCACTTTCTTTTCTATATGTAGGAGACTAAGGGCAGTAGTATAGAACAGGCTGGAATTTCAGACCATGATTTAGAATCCCATCTGAGCATTCACCAATACACCACCAGTTTGTTGGAGGAGATGCAGTCAGACATCACATTAAAACAGAGTTTAATCAGACTATGGCTTATAAAATTGTGATTTATCTTGGCATCTGAATGTAGCCAAACAAGCAACCAATGAAGCCAGTGTAAAATTGGCATAATGGTAATGCATCTAGCCCCAATTAAATTCTAAATCCATTGTCCTCTGCAGGTGCTCTTCAAAGGCAGCCCCCCTTCCATTTATGCTGGCCCTTGATCAAGTGGACTGATCAGCTATGATAACAACCTTTGTCAGGGTCTTGTGGGGTTTTTTGGTCACTTCTTGGAGCTGCAGTGGCTCAAGTGGTTAAGACGCTGAACTGCAGGCTGTAGAAGGTCGGTAGTTCAGCAGTTCGAGACCCGGGTGCCGCATGACGGAGTGAGCTCCCGTCTCTAGTTCTGCCAACCTAGCAGTTCGAAAGCAAGAAATTGCAAGTAGATAAATAGGTACCACTTCGGTGGGAAGGTAACAGCGTTCCGTGCGCCTTGGTGTTTAGTCATGCTGGCCACATGACCACGGAAACGTCTTCGGACAGCGCTGGCTCTTCGGCTTCGAAATGGAGATGAGCACCGCAACCCTAGAGTCGGATTCGACTGGCTTTCGAGCAAGGGAACCTTTACCTTTACTTTTTTTGGTCGCTTCTAAGGATTCTTTTGTAGAGTAACATGGTACATTTTCTTCAGTAATCAAATGGTTATAAGACTTAGATTTTCATCTCAAGCATTCAGTCACCATGGTAATATCCTTGAGATCCCAGAACACTTTATGCGCATAGGATGTAAAATAGAGATAGGCATGCACTTTTTCAAATCTGTCACCTAAAAATAAATCTGTCATAATGCCCAGAATAGTGCAAATACATTAGTCCAGGAAGAGATTCTAACCACTAGCATAAATAAAAGTCTGTTTTATAAAATGCTGCTATTCTTTCCATGTACTCTTGCTCTTTTCAACAATAATTAAATTTGTTAGCTTCTGTTGTCTTGTTAAACAACTGAATGTGGAAAGTGTGCATTAACAGCATTAATTCCAATATCAATCAGGGCTTGGACAGTAATTCCTAAAACACAATCAACAATCAATATATTTGCAGAATTGGCAGAAAATGCTCCTTGTTCTTTTGTGCAAGTTGTCTCACAAATAGAAAAATAAATAAAATAAATAAAATAATGGTTTCTACCGATTTCCTTTCCCCCTTATTGCAGCACCCTCTACTACAATCCCCCTTTCCCCCAAAAAATTATTGGAAATAAAAATAGTCTGTAAAGGAGAATCTTAATATATAAATTTGTGGCACTGTCTTTCTTCTTGAAAGCCAGCATGGTTAAGAGCAGCACACACTAATCTGGAGAATTGGGTTTAATTCCCCACTCTTCCACATGAAACCTGTTGGGTGACTTTGGGCCAGTCACAGTTCTCCCAGAACTCTCTCAGGCCCACCGACCTCACAAGGTGCCTGTTGTGGGGAGGGCAAGGGAAGGCGATGGTAAGCTACTTTGAGATTCCTTAGGGTAGAGAAAAACAGGGTATAAAAATCAATTCTTCTTCTTCTCCAGGATATGCTTTGGATCCCTCAGTAGATAATTATGACGTTTCTACTAAATATATTGGATCTGTTGAGGAAGCTGAAAAGAATCAAGGTAGGCAATCTATATTTAAAATGCTAAGTTTTGAAATCAAGAAAATATACATTTTATTTTTAGTATAAGAATTACCTTGCTATGCTTAGGCAGTCGGGGGCTTCTAAGCAATTAATACAATAGGACTACTTCTAAGGCTGCAGAATAATAGCCAGTACTATAGCTCTGTGGTTGCCAGTAGCTTCTGCAGCTATCATTCAACATCATAGACAAAATTTCTGCCAAGCATTGGGTGCCCTGGCTATACTCTGAGAGAGAGATTTGCTGTATATGTTGGCATGGATAGAACCTGCTGCCAGAAATGGGCAAGGATTGCCACTGTTCATAATGGTGGCAAGGGAATAACTTCCAGCAGGAAAGCTCATGAAATTGCTTCACATATTAGAGAGTGAAGGTACTTCCCCCACACGCATGCCGATTACAATAGGGAGGGCGGAAAACTGTAGCTTCCGTTCTTCTACATAATATCCAGGGATTCATTTTAATTCAAAATCCAGATAGTTCTTTCAGCCTTTAAAGTGTATTAGAGCAACAAAGGAGTCAATTTTGTCAAACATTTTGCATATATACCTTACTGCCATTCAGTGAGAAATGGTGGCTTAAGATTTGAGATCTGGTAACACAACCTTCTTTTTCTCTCTCCCTCACATGTTATGCTTACTTTGTATGTTGGTCTTAAGATTGTAATAATAAACTAAACACAACCTTCTGTCAGGAAACATTTATGCCCACCAGATGCATATAGACATTTGGCTTCATCCAAGGTGACCTATTTTTGCTGTCTAGATTATTTTACTGTTTGTCTCCCCCTTGGCCCCTGCTTTCTTGCTTTCTCCATACCTTCGGACTTTTGTGTCTACTTATTGCTGATCTGCACCCATTACTTCAGGGCTGTGTCTCTTTCCCTTTTTTTGTTCAGTGCTGTTCAGTTGTCTCTTATCCCTCTGGCCATGTTAGTAGTATCTGCTAATGGTTTGGAGTTCTCTTCTTGGGTTCTGGGCTCAGTTCCTTTGTTGGAGAGTTCGGAGGGAAATGATAGGGCTATAGGCTGTTGACTGTCCAAATGTGCAAATGAAGCATGGAGGGAGCTGATTGGTCTATTGGCTGATGATGGGGGGAATTCTCCAAACTTCATAAATTACTTCCCATCTTTCACAGCCTTTTGACAGCCCCATGGGTATTAAGTGGTTCAAGGCTGGAATGTTATTATTGAAGGTTAAATCAAGCAGCTTTGGGATTATGGAAATTTTGTCCTTTTTGGATATTTACAAGTATTTTTACTGCTCATAGGTCTAACAGTGTTTGAAACAGGACAGAAGAAAACAGAGAAAAGGAAGAAATTCAAAGAGAATGATGCATCTAATATTGATGGTTTCTTGGGACCATGGGCAAAATACATTGATGAAAAGGATGTTGCCAAACCTTCAGAAGTGAGCATCGCTTTGTCCCCCCCCCTCCAAATACAGTTTAGCAATAGTGATCATTCTGAAGCATACACAGACTGGGATCCACAGAGGCCCTTAAATCTACTCATATCTGTGCAGAGGTTTTCTGAATTTTCCTTCCAGCTACTCTTCTCTTTCATGAAGGGAAAGGCCATTCTGTTGAAGGAACTACTTGGTTAGATATAAGCCACCATTTTTAAAAATAAAAGTCAGATTCATAAACTGAGAGACACAAAATCAATAAGCCATCAACTGTCCTAGAAACAGCCTGTGATGTGCCTGAGTGTAAATTTTTCACATTGTCTTACAGCAGCCTAAGCAGGAGAGACAAATTTTTCAGTAACAGATTTATTAGCCAGTAAACAAAAAAATCAGTCTTGTGCTGAACCCATCAGCGGTCTTTTCCTTACAATATTTTGATCTCAGGTCCTTCTGTAGAGGACATAGGAACAAATAGTGCTATAAATCTTTCACTAAGCTTTCTCAAGAAATATGGTTTCTCATGGTGAAAGTCCCCCCCCCCCATGTCATTCAAGACTGTGATGTTCTAGAAACAAAATAATGGTAAAACTCTTGTTTGGGATACAATAAAAGATCTGATAGGACACTTTTAGTTGCATGGAAAATATTGAATAAACATCATAGAGCTAACCTTACAGAAGAAACCTCAGCTAAATTACATGCACATAATTTTTATTTATTAAAATATTTGTTTTCTGTCTTGCCAAAGTTCTAAAGGAGCAGATAACTTATTTAGAAAATCCAACAATTTTCTGCAATATTGGCACACATGGAGACACAACAATAATAATAGGAAGAGCCAGTCCTGCCCTGTGCATGGTTTCTTGGAAAGAAGAGCCATGATATCCAGCATTAAATTAGGATTAAATTAAGAGTTCCATTCTAAAGCCTCATGGTACCCAATGTTCTGTACAACATCTTAATGATGAGACAGTGTTTTTGAGTCTACAAAGTGCATCATACACTTTTGTCCCATGATTTTAAATCTCTGCAAGAGTTAAGTGTTAACCCTGTAGTATGAGCAAGAGGTTGATGCTGAGAAAGAAAGTGATTTGCCTGGGGTTACCTAGTGAATTTGTGGATGGAATGAGATTTGAATTGGAGGCATCCTGGCTCTCAGACCCTGCAGGGAGGAAAAATTGCAATTATCTGTAGTAAGAAATATTTTGGCAGTGAGTTACAAACAGTGCACATATGGGGGAATGCACATATGGTGCAGATCACTATGTACATACCTTAGCACTGTACAGGAATAAAGTTCTCAGTTTCCCCCATCAGGGTGCCTGTGTAATGAGTGATCAGTGTTAATTGGGTTGACATGTATAGTCCTCAGTGCACATTCACTGTGGCTGTTGATGCCACTGATTGTCTACTCTGGAATGTCACACACACATCCATTATGAACCATCAAATCTGGATATGCTGACAGGCCTTTCGGTGAATGCATGTGTGTAGATCCCCATGTACAACCTATTTCTGCAAATAGTGATATTGAGAGCTGAGCCTTGTTGCTAGAGAAGATTAGAGTAGCTTTTGAGCCTGACTTGTTCTGTGGCTGAGCACTCAACAAGTAATGATGGATGGTTGGGTGGTCCGTATGTATTGATAAATTAGTTGTCTTGCTTTTTGTGGGCATTTAGCGCTCTCTCTGATTTGTGGACGTTATTTTGTGAAAAGGTGACTTAAATAGTTTGCTAAATATTTAGTGTTGAATTATTTTAAGGAACCTTTTCTAAAGATAACAAAAATATTATTTTAAGAAGCTAGTTCAGTGAAGCATGCTACTTTAGATTTTGCTATAGAACAAGAATAATAAAGCTTAAAATTTCGGCTACTTAGGAGGAGCAGAGAGAACTAGATGAAATAACAGCAAAGAGGCAGAAGAAAGGCAAGCATGAAGATGATAAACCTGGAGAAGAAAAGACTATTTTGCATGGTAAGTGCCATCTTCAGCAGTCCGGTTGCATTTTCTTGTTCTATTTTCAAATATTTGATCATTTAGGAAAAATATTGTGTATTTTGGCTTAAGTACTGTGCCAGTAATTCTTACGCCATACCATGTAGAAAGATGGAAAAAAGGAAGACTAAGAAACAGCCTGGCTTTGTTGTTTCTGGTGACACTGGAAAGAATTTCAAGATGCAGTTAAATTTGGATGGTAGGCAGATTGTACTATTGGGAACACTGTGGAAATGTCATTTGCTTGTGTATTCGTTGCAAATGTCAGTTCCTAGTATTTTAATTTGGCAGTCTCCTTTGGGTAGTCATTTCTACCACATAAAACTAAATATCTCAGTTTTTACTTCTGTGCACTTCTAGATCATCTTCTTATAGCTAAATCTCATCTGATTGCCAGCAGTAAAGATTTGTAGCAAAATACATTGTTGCCTATAAAAGCTTGAAATTGTAGCTATCTTACGATTTCAGTGCAATTCACAGTCATCAGGATGAAGAGCTTCTTTATTGTTCCCTCCCCAAACGTCCTTAGATTTTTTTCTACCTCAAGCTTTCCTCTTTCTTTTCACTTTACCATTTCAGTCTAGCAGTGTCCTGAGATTCATACATGCAATGGGGCTATTTAATTTTTGTCCAGAGACCACTCTCCTTCCTTATTGTTACAATTACAAATATATTACAAATAAAACTTTGATTTAAATGTAGTTTGTGTTGTTAATGTTGTCTAATGACAAAACTTTACATCCTCAGAGACACATGCATACTCCCACTGCAAAGAGTCTCAGTACCATGCAGCCTTTTTGTTTTTATTGCAATCAAAATCAAGGCCAGACTTAGTGGCTACAGAGCAGGATATTTTATGCATGAGCACACAGCCCCAGCCATAGTTGGCCTATGGGGATTTAAGTTACTGTTTTGGAAAGGGGGGCAAGGAAGCTAGTCAGATACTCTGGTAATGAGATGTGTTTAGAAGGTAGATGGTCTAGTATTTAAACTGGATAGGATTTTGGTGAGAATCTTACAGAATTTGCCTTTTTTTCCCTGACTTCTTTCTCAGTGAAAGAGATGTATGACTACCAAGGGAGATCCTACCTTCACGTCCCTCAGGATGTTGGAGTTAACCTGCGTTCAGCTGTTCCCCCTGAGAAATGTTACCTTCCTAAGAAACAGATCCACGTGTGGTCTGGGCATACAAAGGTAACAGATGGTTAAAACTAAGTTTTCCCTGCTTTGTGTGTGGTGTGTCCTCTGTCAAACGTGTTTTTTTTTTCATTGTGATAATGGATCCAGTCTTTCCCAGATTTTCCAGTGTTTCAACACATGTTCTTGCACAAATTGCATAATTGCATCTACTAGTTCGAATTACTTCAGATGCTGGGTGAGACATACAGATGAAAACTCACAGTTGTGAATATGATATTACATTTGAGCTGATGGGTCATTTAATTGGTATTGGAGGTTTTTTGTCATGTTAGTTACTGTGTTGCATGACATTTTACAATATTACTGTTTCTGAAGCCTCCCATCTGATTAAGTTTTCTAAATGAGAACAGGTGCTTTGAAGAAGCTTTGGCTCCTGTTTCTAGTCTATCCCTGCTCTAGTCCTAAATATTTCTTGATGTAAGCTGCTCTTAAAGCTATTGGCCTTGGTTTAGACACCCTGTCTACATGGGCGATCCATCCACAAAAGTCTGTGATGTTTGTTTAGATTTTTCATGCTATCATAAGATTTGTACAGTTAGAGATCTTCGATGTGGTCTCTGTGCTTCACACCCATGGGATCTAGTGCTCATGCGCTGGATCGATCGGTGCTTTGGCAAGCTCTTTTAACGGATTTTCGTGCCCAGTCCCTCGGGCATGCACAGGAACCCCGCCGCGCATGCCCAGAGGGGTGGGCACGGACATCCCGCCAGTTCCTTTCTTACCGCCGTGTTGGAAAGACCTCTTTCTTCGTCGGTCTGGTCGGTTCGCTGTTCGCTTTTGCCTCACAGCTCTTAGGAATTATTTCCCTACTTTATTTTTCTTTTTTAGTGATTTCTTCAAAAACTTAAAAAAACCCAAAACTTAATTTTCTTCTGAGGGGAATTTACCTCAGGCCTTCGGGCTACCCCCCAAAAAAAAACTGTTCCCTCCACTTAACTTCTTTATGGAGAAGAAGTGGGGATTTTTCAATAGATGCAAACGTTGTGGTAGCAAACTTGCTCCTCCCGACCGTCATACCCTCTGCATTTTTTGCCTTGGAGAGTCTCACAAGCCAGAGTCCTGTCGTCACTGTGCTCACTTCTCTAACCAAATAAGAAAGAACCGCGCTGCGCGCCTTAAAAGGGCACTGCTTGAATCGGCCCTTGCTCCTGCCTCAGCGATGGAGGCGAGACCATCTACATCGACAGCTCCGGCATCGAGACCTGCCTCCGATGTCGACCGCCCGACACCGAAGCTCCCGACATCGAAGGCACGATCGTCTGCCTCCACACCAGTCAAAAAGAAGGCTAAGGCAAGTACAGAGCATAAGTCCGCGAAGAAGGGCACCTCCAAGTCCCTTAAGACGGCGAAGAAGGGGAAGGAAGCGGTGCCTGCACTGGGTGATGCCCCTATAGTGCCTCCCGCTCCACCGGCAGTATCAATATCGGAGGCCTAAGTCCCTCCACCGATACCGACTATCCATGTATTGGACTCCCCTGTCCACCAAATGGAGCCTCCTTACTCCGACATCGAAACAGTAGAGCTCCTAAGTCATCAGATGGATGCAGAGCATTCTCCGTCTCCTTCTCCGTCGTCAACATCGACGGTATCGGAAGCTCCCAACATCGATCCACGTCGGTACCGATATACCTCATGTGACACGCAGCGTTACCCTCCTCGTCTGCACACTCAATTTGTCGATATCGACGACCGACATTACAGGCACAATTCCCGCAGACAGGCTACTGCTTTGTCTCCCAGACGTCCACGGTCCAGAAGTCGATCCCCCAGAGGCCAAAGATCCACCTTTCAGAAACCAAAATTCGGTTCCGGGCAACAAACTTCCCGCGCCAAACAGTCCAAACCCTCCAAGCAGGGTTTTTGACCTCCCCATCACCGAGTCAGCTCCTACCCATCTGTTTCCCTTTCTTCACGCTTGGCGTCGCATCACCTCGGACGAGTGGGTGCTCTCCATCTTGTCCCGAGGTTACAAAATTCAGTTCCTCCAGAAGCCCAATACTCCTGTCGTCGTCTCCATGCCCCCTTCCCCACCTCTCCTTGAGGAGGTGTCCGTCCTTCTGCAGAAGGGAGCCATCGAGCATGTACCACCACACCTCCAAGGGACGGGATTTTATTCCCAATACTTCACTGTGACTCTGGCACTACTGGACAACCTGGGCCTACAAGTCAATCAACAAAAGTCTCAGTTGTGTCCTGTCCAGCGAATATAGTACATCAGCGCAATACTGGATTCACAGACATGCATGGCTTACCTGCCCCAAGACAGGGCAGCAGATATCATTTCCCTAGCCACAGTCATCCGTACCCAACCCTCCGTCACTGCCTTCCAAATCCAGAGGCTGTTAGGCCTGATGGCTGCAACTACCTCAGTTCTCGTCTTTGCCAGGCTCAAAATGTGTCTGTTACAACTCTGGTTCATCCGCAACTACGACCAGTCGAAAAACGCACACACTGTTGTCCTATCTCCTCTTCCCACCATACAGGACTCTTTACTTTGGTGGACTGTCCCTTCGACTATCCTTCAGGGAGCGCCATTCCACCCTCCGTCACCCTCCGTCACCATTACGACAGATGCTTTCCTGACGGGATGGGGTGCACACTCCATGGGCCTCTCTGTTGGAGACAAGTGGAACACACAGATGAGGAAGCAACACATAAACTTTCTAGAACTCCTGGCTAGTCGACATGCTGTCACCAGTTTCCTCCCTTTAATCAAAGGAAAATGTGTCACGGTCCTCACGGACAACACCACAGCACTTTCCTATGTCAACAGACAAGGAGGCTCTGTTTCCCAACGACTCTGCACCCTCGCCCTTCAACTCTGGGAGTTTTGCATTGCCAACAACATATTCCTAGTGGCCACTCACATTTCAGGACACATGAACGTGCAGGCAGACCATCTAAGTCGAGCGGGACTCAACCTTCACGAGTGGGGGATGAACCCAACATACCTCCTTCCACTCTTCCACTAGTGGGGAGTCCCCAAGTCGATGTCTTTGCAAGCAGAGACAACAAAAAGTGTCCTCTGTTCTGCAGTCGAGGAGGCAAAGACCCACAATCTCTGGGAGACGGTCTCCTTTACCCTTGGTACTCGGGGCTTCTCTACCTGTTCCCCCCCTTACCTCTGCTTCTGTGAGTGGTCCGCAAAATTCTCAAAGACAACGTGGACCTAACCCCATGGTGGCCGAGACAACCTTGGTTTTCAGCTTTCCTCGAGTTCTCACAGGGGATATACCATCACTTCCCCCCGGCTCAGGACCTCCTCCTTCTCTCAGACTCCCCCGTCCTACATCACAACATACCACAGTTGAAACTGACGGCATGGCGGATAACATCACAGGCTTCTCCTCCCGTGTAGTGAATGTCCTTTTGAATTCCAGGAAGCATACTACACGCAAGTCCTACGATTATAAATGGAGAAGATTCTGTTCTTACCTAGGTGATGACGCCCCTAGAGCCACCTCAGTGGGTCTCGAAAGAGTTTTCTGATTCCTCCTCTCCTTAGCTGACTCGGGACTTTCCCATTCGTCGTTAAGAGTTTATTTGGCCGCTCTCTCGGCCTACCATGTTCCAGTTGACGGATGCACATTGTTTTCTCATCCAATTTCCAAACGGTTTTTAAAAGGTTTGTTACACTTTTACCCTCCTGTCAAAACTCCAGTCACTCCCTGGGACCTTCCTCTAGTTCTACGCCAGCTCACCAGAAAGCCCTTCGAGCCATTGCAACATGCGACCTCAATTTGTTACACTTTTACCCTCCTGTCAAAACTCCAGTCACTCCCTGGGACCTTCCTCTAGTTCTACGCCTGCTCACCAGGAAGCCCTTCGAGCCATTGCAACATGCGACCTCAAACTCCTCGCATGGAAAACTGCCTTTTTAATTGCCATTACCTCAGCTAGGCGAGTGGGAGAAATATTGGCTTTCCGGCACGATACACCTTTCCTGTCCTTTTTCCCAGACGGAGTCCGCCTCATCCCAGACATCTCTTTCCTCCCGAAGGTGGTGTCAGAGTTCCACCTGCAGGCGGATGTCTTCCTCCCTGACTTCTTCCCAAACCCAACGTCAGCGGAGGACAGATTATTACACACCTTGGACATGAAACGGGCTCTCCTGTTCTACCTCAGTAGAACACACCCAACTAGACGAGACTCACAACTATTGGGTATGCGCATCACGGCCCAGCGCCTGTCAAAGTGGATTGTAGGTCTCATCCATCTATGTTACCTACTCGCCAAACATCCGTTGCCTGGCCATATCAGGGCTCATTCTACCAGGGCTGTCGCGACTTCCACTGCCTTCCTCCAGGGAGTATCACTGCCTGACATTTGCACCTTCATCAGGCACTACGCCCTAGACGTCCATACCAACACCACTACCAACATGGGATTTCACATTCTGTCTTCGGCTACGCAGTAAAAGACCTGCCAGCACCCTCCTCCAGGTAAGCTACTGCTCGCTAATCTCCCATGGGTGTGAAGCACAGAGACCACGTTGAAGATAAGCAGGTTGCTTACTAGTAACTGGTGATCTTCGAGTGGTCATCTGTGCATTCACACCACCCGCCCTCCTTCCCCGCTGCTGTCAGCTTCTACATTTTTGAATAGGGGTTGATTTGCGGCAGTTTGTAGGAACTGGCAGGATGTCCGCGCCCACCCCTCTGGGCATACGCAGTGGGGTTCCTGCGCATGCCTGAGGGACTGGGTGCGAAAATTCGTTAAAACAGCTTGCTACAGCACCGATCGATCCAGCGCGTGCGCACTGAATCCCATGGGTGTGAATGCACAGATGACCACTCGAAGATCACCAGTTACTAGTAAGCAACCTGCTTTTTATACCATCTTCTTTTTTTCTACTGGAACAGTCCTCAGGTTAACTACACAGTCATAGCTGTCCTGATGCCATTAGCCACACATTGGTGTGAGTCTGCTAATAATGTGTGAAAACCTTTTGCTATATTCAGAACTTTGAATATTTCATTTCACAGCCTATGTAGGCCATAGTTCTTTTTTCTATTTTGTGACTTAAGTAAACGAAAGAAGTCCTTCACTGGGTTTTGAGTTGTTTGCCCCTCTTCTAGTCAGCATTTCAACCCATGGCACCACCACTAGAATCACCTGATATTTAATCTCTAGGTATTTTATGTATGGGCTATACTTCACTATCAAGAGTTCCTGTCAGGGAACTGAACTAGCTAAGATGACATGTGTCTCATCATTCTTTCACAGAGTAATGTGTTTTGCTTTGGAACCACTTACTATACAGTTTATAGAATCATAAGTCGATTCTTGCAATGTTTTAAATTGTAAATATTTCTTTGAGACTTTCTCAGGGGACTCTGAATAATTCTGTAGTGAATGCCAAGGCATTGTTATGATACAAAGATTTTTCCAGGAACCAAAATTCCTTAACACATGTTGTTATAGCAGTCATTCTGGATGCATTGTAAAGTGTGTTGTCATATAATATTCTTACCTTCAGTCTATTAGGAGAATAGAACTAACTCGAAGCCACAGACTAAGTTACAGAGTTCTGGAATACCTGCTTGGTAGGTATTCCGAGCTGTTCCTGGGGCAAATTATTCTATGGGGCAAATTATTGAGCTGCCTCCTGTTCTTAATGCAGTGTCAAAATACTAGCAGTGAAGAAAGTTCAGCCAAATAAAAGGATGATCATGGAGTTATTCTTAACCCTCGGCTGCTACAACAGTTTGTTGTATTCCTCTCTATAGTTAAAATAATATCACCAATCACCACGTGAATTAAGCTTATAGCAATTGTGGTTATGCCCCCAGGATTAATTTTTAGCAGAATTGGAAGCCATCTACTAATGTTTGAATTCTTTTATAGAAGTTTATATAAACCTGTTGGAAAATAGAAATACCATAGTCATTCCATTCAGTTTCACCTTTTTTAATTTTAAAGGGTGTCAGTGCTGTCAGGCTGTTTCCCCTTTCTGGCCACCTCTTGCTGTCTTGTTCAATGGACTGCAAAATTAAGGTAAGCTCCTCTGAAGTAATAACAGTCACTGCTTACAGATGTCACATTAATTTTGGGGTATGCCTTTCCTTTAACTCCTTTATTTTGAGGTAAGTGCAGTTGTTGGCTTTGTGTTGTGCTGGAATGATGCATAGGGTTGTCCTGAAAGGCGGGTCATTTTTCACAACTCGGATTTTTGGTTTGTTATGAAACAAATGTGTTTGTGTGCTAAATGTCATCAAGTCGCTTCCAATTTATGGCAACCCTGTGAATTAATGACCTCCAAAATGTTCTATCATTAACAGCCTTACTTAGGTCTCACAAACTGTGGGCCATGGTTTCCTTATGTTTGGTCTTCCTCTTTTCCTGCTGCCTTCAATTTTTCCTAGCATGATTGTCTTTTCCAGTGACTCTTCTCTTCTCATCATGTGACCAAAGTATGATAGCCTCAGTTGAGTCATTTTAGCTTCTAAGGAGAGTTCAGGCTTGATTTGATCTAGAACCCATTTGTTTTTCTTTAATGCTAGTCCACAGTATCCGTAAAACTCTTCTCCAACACCACATTTCAAATGAGTCAACTTTCTTCCTATCAGGTTTAATCATTGTCCAACTTGCACACCCATACATAGTAGTGGGGAATTTGATGGCATGAATAATCTTGATCTTGGTTGCCAGTGACACATCCTTACATTTAAGGATCTTTTCTAGCTCCTTCATGGCTGCCCTTCCCCGTCTCAATCTCCTTCTGATTCCTTGGTTGCAGTCTCCTTTTTGGTTGATGATGGAGCCAAGGAATAGAAAATCTTGGACAATTTGAGTTTCTTCATCATCAATGTTAATGTTGCGCAGCTTCTCAGTGGTCGTTACTTTTGTTGTCTTGACCTTCAGCTGTAATCCTGCTTTGGGACTTGATGTTCAGCTGTAATCCTGCTTTCTGCCTATGCATGAGTGCAAACTCTATCCACTGCCACCCCTTCTCTTTTTTGAGGGAGAAGTATCTCACACATTGGGCCTTTGTGTAGATGAGCCTTTGTGTAGACCATCCACCTCAAGTTGCTTTATGTACTGGTTAGACGAGAGGAAGGATAAAACTGCCTGATTTAAATTGTGGTAGTGGATTGCATTGCTCTTTTACTTAACTTTCCCACACACACACTATCTCCATGATGCCGTATAGATATATATTTGGTTTCGACTGCTATCTTGTGAGTTTGGCAAACAAATTTACATACCCATTGCTGTATACTCTGCTGCATTTCTGTATGTTGCTTATACACAACTCCCAAGATACACCTCTTAAACACTGCTCTTGCATGAATCACTTCTCTTCTCAAGAGCCAGTATGCTGTACTGGTTAGAGTGTTGGGCTAAGATCTGGGAGACCCTGGTTCAACAGCCCCTCCACACACACACACACACACACACACACACACACACACCATGGAAGCTCACTGGGTGACCTTGGGCCAGTCATGGATTCTCAGCCTAAATTACCTTACCGGGTACAATGAGGATAAAATGGAGGAGATAATGATGTGATCTGCTTCAGGGGCCCATTGGGGAGGAAGGTGGGGGTATAAATGAATGAGCAAATAAATTCTCTTTGTATGACATCTTCCATCCCATAAAACTTCTTACACACTGAGAACTCAAATCTGGTTTCTTAAAACTTATGAACCAAGCAAGTCTTACAGCTGTTGAGTTCCATATACTGGTGTGTGGTCCTCCAGCATTTAGGTAGGAAGTGTAAGGTGGTTTGCTTCTGAATAGATTTTTGTTTGGAATTAACCCTGTAAATTGTTTGCACAGTTGCATATTTAAATAAAGCCTTGTTGCTAATCATTTGTGTTTTTTCTCAGCTCTGGGAAGTATACGGTGAACGAAGATGCTTACGAACGTTCATCGGTAACTTTTTTTAAAAAATCATTTTAGTAACCTTAAAGAGATGGAAGTTTTCTTTGCTTCAAATGTTGAGCTACCTTATTTAATGATGGGACCAAATTTAAATTTGTGCCTCCAGTGAATAGTCTAGAAATCATGGGTGCATCTAAGGAAAAGGACTAATGGTAACTGAAAATCTTGCGTGCCTATGAAATTCAGACAGATTTGGTACAATGCAGTACACAGTTAAGCACACTTGTATCTGAGAGAAAGTAGTGAAATGAAAGTGTATTTCAATGAGAGCTTTATCTCACTCATAAGTTAAAATATTTTTCTCAGCCTTTGGACCTGTACATCAAGATATTATGTTAATGCATCATGTAGTTTTTCAGAGTCCATATCCAAATTAGGTAAATTGATAAAATTTAAGTAAAGTTTATATTGTAAATGGTGACTATCTATAAAATAGTAATTCCATTCTTAATTGTATTGGCCGTCATGCATAATTTCATTGCAATGGAAAAAGAATTGAGCTGAAGCAATTGGGGGGGGGCGGGATCCATAGCAGTAATTGTTGTCTGAGTGCAGGGAGGACTCTGCCATTTAGCCACAGGTTTTTCTTCCCTCACAGCATGTAGAAGTTTCATGCCAGAACATTGTCTAAGGAGATGTTTGGCAATCCTACCCAGTTTCCTTATGTTTCTTGACTGATCTGAAACTCCTTAAGATATTGTCCAAGCCAGGGGTTATTGCGAAGCACCAGCAACCCTTCAAACACTAGATCTCATCTTCTTGAAGAATTTTTTCTGCAGAAAAATCTTTTCGCAAAAACTTTAAGAAATACAAAGAGAAAAGTCAGATTTTGTTCCTTATAACCAAGGGCATTTAAAAGTGGTAATGAGATATTTTTAGATGTGTGAACTACTTTGCTATCTTTGTCCCTCCCCCCTTCTAGCATTAGTGCCTCCTTTTGAAGTGGAAACCCTTCTTCAATTGTAGACTGAGTGAATGCACATTAAGCAGTTGTGGAAGTGGCCTTTCACCTCAGATTTCTGGGACACAAAAAACCTGCAGAGTGGAAAAACTGCTGCTCAAAATAGAACTTCTGTAGCATTTCTTCAGTCATATTTTTAGAGCTTGCTTTAATGAGAATTTTTTTAGCCTCCATAAGCACATCCACTGTTGAATCAAGGCTCTCGTGCCAAAAGGTGATGCATGTGATGCTGCCAATGCTGGATTGGGAACTATGTTCTCGGCATTGAACAAATAGTTCATACTCTCCATGAATCCATCCCATACTTCCTCTCTCCAAAATGTGCCTTGGGCTTCATATTACAGGCCAAAGGCAATTTGCTGCCACCTTTCTACTTATGCTTCTGTTTCATTCTTTAGGACATAGTAAAGCTGTTCGAGATATATGCTTCAACAATGCTGGGAGCCAGTTTCTCAGTGCTGCATATGATCGGTATCTTAAACTCTGGGATACTGAAACAGGTAAATGTATATTCATTTTGTAAACAGCAAAAATGTAGCTATGGAAGTGCAAAATCTTACCTTTTAGATTGGTGTGGGCAGAAGATCACTCAGGAGTTGCCACTCATTCTCCAAGCAATTTAGCGTAGCTTTCTGCTCCTCCTGCACTGCTGCTTTGATTACTTTCCCCCCCTTGAAAACTACCACAGCCGAACAGAACTTTGCCTCAGGCTTCTCACTACAGCCCACTCACAGAGTGCTCTGTTTGGAATTCAGGGGAACCTTTGAATTAGTGAAAATTAGTGGCAATTAGTGAAAATTCCCCCCCCCCCCCCCCCCCCCCCTGGCAGAAGTGCCCTTGCTCCCATGGAAATAGAGAGTTGCATCCAGGGGTCGTTTTGTAGAAAAAGAGCTAGAGGAACTCATTAGCATAACTCATTAGCATATGCCACACCCCCTGACATCACCGGAAGTGTGTCATAAGGCCACACCCACCACTCAGTCTTAGTCTTAAAGGTGCTATTTGTTAGTCTTAAAGGTGCTATTTGAACTCTTGGACTATTTTGCAGCAACAGACTAACACAGCTAATTCCTCTGAATCTAAACCCACCACTCAGGCTCCACCCCCAAAATCTCCAAGGTATTGCCAATTCAGAGCTGGTGAGCCCATGGGAATTTTTTTTTGCCAAAGACCATATGAAGCGAACCGCTTGGATTCCAGAGGCACCATGTGTAATACGACTGATGTGTAGAAACCTGGCATGCAGTGTGGCTCTTCTCTTCTCCCTGAGAAACTTACCCAAAAAAATAATTTGAAGAAGAAGAAAAAAAAGAGAAGCACACAAATAAAGGAACAGATGCGTTTTCACAACTTCAACATAAAAGGAAATC